ACCCTACCAACCAGGGGATACATACAAATGAGGATAGCGGGATGAGTGCAAATCAGACGGTTATTGAGACTCCTAGCAAAGAGACCATTGTGGTTTCCTACACCGAGAACATGGATTACTCTGTGGAAAAGCAACCAACCGAGGGTAATGGACCCCTAAACAAGACAGCTACAAAAACAATAATGTCACGTCGAGAAACACATAGTGAAGGGAGAGCCCCTTTCGACAGGGCACATGAAGCACCTAAGGGTAATTTAGACCCTGCCGAGGTCACTGCCAAATCACATAATGGCAAAGGGGTTGCGAAACAACATGAAGGTGTTAATGGGAGTTCTGGAAACTCGAGGAAAGAGGAGAAGGCTCTGGCTATAAAAGAGAAACAACAGAACAGTAGTGGAAAGACGAGAGATGGAAAAAATGGTGCGGGGAACCGATCCCCTTCCGAGAATAAATGAGAATTTTAAGTTGTAACTGTCGCGGATTGGGGAATAAGCATGCAGTTAATTCGTTGCGGGCACTTTTGCGCCACACTCCCCCCAGGTTGTTTTTCACATGAAAACAAAACAAACGGTGGATGAGAATGAAGAGCTACGGGAGTCTTGTGGATTTAAAAAGGGCGAGTGTTGCCCATCAAATATTTTGCAGCGGAGTAGAGTTGGAGGTGTTAGTATTTGGTGGGCAGAGGAGCTATCCATAACTAAGATGGACATGTCCCTCAATTTTGTGGATATAGCGATTATAGAAGAAAAGGAAGGCAGGTGGCGTTTTACTGGTGTGTACGGGTGGCCTAATGGTAGCGACAAGTGGCGTACCTGAGAGCTTCTATCTTCATTAATTCAACAATGGGATGGTCCATGGCTTTGCGGGGGTGACTTTAACCAGGTACGAACCGTAGAGGAGAAGAGTGGAGGGCGTATTGCGCACGAGGCGGACATGGAAAACTTTGAAAGCTGCTTATGGGTGACAGGTTTACAAGACATGGGTTTCCATGGTTACCCATTTACATGGGAAAATAGACGGGTCAGAGGTGGCTATATTGAAGAGAGGCTTGATTGGTTTGTAGCCAATGATAACTTGCAACACCTCTTCCCCAACTTCCACGTTCTACATTGGGACAGGGCGCGATCGGATCACAGGCCAGTCCTTTGTGACACGCGAGGTAATGAAGACGAGGAGGTTCAATGGGGCAAATCGTTTTGGTTTGAACCTTATTGGAAGAAACACGAAGACTGTGAGAAGGTCATTGGCAATGGGTGGCAGCAGGCGGCCCAGTCAAACATTCTACAAAAATTTGACCTTTGCCGCAAAAATTTGGAGGAGTGGAGTCGATCTGCTTTCCTGCGGTTCGCCAAACAAAAAGAGAATATAACCCGAGCCCTCTGGATTCTTGAGAGGATGCCGAAGTCGGAATCAAAACTTACAACAATGCATGCAGCTTGAGGATGAAATGACCGATTCATTGGTTAACGAGGAACAGCATTGGAAGCAACGCTCAAGGGCGGATTGGCTTAAAGGGGGAGACAAGAATACCAATTTTTTCCATCGTAAAGCATCTTCCCGGCAAAAAAGGAATACCATCAAACGAATTAGAGATGAAGCAGGCAGGTGGCACGTGGGTCAACAAGAGGTCTCGGCATGCATGGTCGAGTATTATAGGACTCTCTTTACAGCTGGTGACGTTCCTGGAGAGTGGCCGGTCCTAGACGCTATGTCGAACAGACTGGACCCTGAGGATAACGCGAGCCTCCTTTAACCTTTTAGCAAGGACGAAGTGTACACAAATCTGAAATAGATGGGAAAACGGAAAGCCCCGGGAGCTGATGGATTATTTGTTCTCTTCTTTCGCAGGTACTGGCATCTAGTTGGGGATGAAGTTACTGCTACTATTTTGCAGATCTTGGAGCCCGAAGAGATGCCGGGAGACCTCAACCACACCCTCATTGGTTTCATTCCAAAGACGAAGCAGCCGAATTCGCCAAAGGAGTTCAGACCGATTAGCCTCTGCAACGTCCTATACAAGATCATGTCCAAGGTGCTGGCGAACCGTCTCAAACCACTCCTTGACAAGATCATTTCCCGAGAGCAAAGTGCCTTCGTGCCTGGGCGCTTGATAACTGACAATGTTATGGCGGCCTTCAAATGTTTCCACACTATGAAGAAAAGTAAGGGGAAAAAACACGACTTCTTTGCTGCAAAAATCGACATGGCAAAGGCTTATGATCAGGTTGAATGGCGTTTTATGGAGGGCGTAATGCGGAGAATGGGGTTTCAGGAGCAGTGAATCAAACTGGTCATGATGGGCGTGATGACTATCTCGTGTTCCGTGCTCGTGAATGGAAACCGTTCTGAAATGTTCACTCAAAGTAGAGGATTACGACAGGTTGATCCCTTATCACCTTACCTCTTTATGCTTTGTGCGAAAGGGTTGTCGGCCTATACAACCAAAGCTATAAACGAGGGTTGGTTGCTTTGTGAGAAACAGGATAAATATCTTGGCTTGGTAACAGAAGTTGACAGGTCGAAGAAAGCTCTTTTTGCAGGACTGAAAGACAGGGTTAGGAAGAAGCTGAAAGGCTGGAATGAGAGGACGATGTCAGTGGCGGTGCGCGAGGTGATTATTAAGCCAGTGGCACAAGCCCAGCTGACCTATCCTATGTCTGTGTTTAAAATACCTGATGGGACCCTTGACGAGATTCACAATCTGTTCACAAATTTCTGGTAGGGGCAAAATGGTACAGAGCGGCGCTCCCACTGGCTGCAAAGAGAAGCATTACTACTTGAAAAGGGGAACGGAGGGATGGGATTTAGAGACATGAAGGGATTCGATATGGTAATGTTGGCAAAATAGTTATGGTCAATCCATCAGCGCCCTGAGTCACTTGTAGCAAAACTGCTAAAAGCCAAGTATCACCTTCGCAGTACGATCTTGGATGCAAGTGTCAGGCACCAGCCGAGTTATGTATGGTGAAGTCTTATGGAAGTGCAAGAATTCCTGCGACAAGGCCTCCGATGGCGGATCGGTAATGGTGAGCAAGTGAGGAGGATTTGGGGAGACAGCTGGCTACCGGAGGGCGAACACCTGTTTATCACATCGGCTCCTCAAGAACTCCCAATGGATGCTCTGGTTCATGAACTCATTGATCCGGAAATAAACCAATGGGACAATGAGCTGCTGGTGCGATGCTTCCCACAGCCAACGGTTCAGACAATCCTCACCATCCCGCTTCGTGGGCAGGAAGAAGCTGATCGCATTATTTGGCATCATAGTGATAATGGCGAGTATTCCATGAAGAGTGGCTATCGACAATGGCTGAATGCTTTCAAGATGAAATGCGGGTTATCTGCCTCAGGAGATGGAGAAGTTTGGAAAAAGTTGTGGGCACTGAACACTCCCCTGAAGATCCGTCATTACCTTTGGCGATTTGCCTTCTGCCAACGGGTCAGAAGGTTAGTGCACACAATGAGCAGTGGAGTGATGTGTGCCCCTACTGCGACCAACCAGAGTCACAACGACATCGATTCTATGACTGTAGCTGGAGTAGTCGGATTTGGAGAGCCTCCCCTTTCGTCAAAGCTTTTGAAGTGCCGGGGGTGGTGGATTGCTTTGAATGGGTGTCGAAAGTGATGGGGACTTGCTCTAAGGAAGAAGTAGAGGGATGGGCCACCCAATTGTGGCCATTTTAGAAGGAAAGAAACGCACAGCTCTTCAACAAAGACAAGTGGCCTGAACAGGAAATTGTGACGTGCTCCCAAGCATTGCTTTCTGAATATCAATGGTGCCAGCTGAATGATGAGTTTGGGGCGGCTAAAGCCCAATCGCTATCTTGGACAAGACCTCCTGAAGGCTGGACGAAGATCAATACAGATGCGGGGTTGAGGCAGGGTGGAGGAGCAGGGCTGGGGGTCGTGATCCGCGGCCACCAGGGACTCTTCATTGCTGCATAGGCGAAGAGAGTCTCAGGGAACCATAGCTTTGAGCAGGCGGAAGCTTTGGCCGCTGAATTTGGAGTGAAACTCGCCCACCAGCTGGGTATTTCCCGAGTCATATTTTAAATGGATTGTCTTGTCGTTGTTGAGCTACTGAAGTCGTCAATGGGCCTCATGAACAAAGTGGGAGTTCTTTGCCGTAGCATACTGCAGCTTTTAAGGCAGACTGGTTCCCATACGGGTATGGTGCTACATACCAGGCGTGAAGCGAACAAAGTGGCACACACCATGTCCAGAAGTGATACTCACTGGGATTGTCGAGAAGTTTGGCTAGATAGGCCTCCGATCTTTTTACTTGACCAGCTTTTGCTGGAAGATGTACCTGCAGTTCCCTCATAATTTAATATAAGCAGGTTTCCCATAAAAAAATCTTCCATAACTATCTGGATTACATCCCCATGCGTTTCATAGACAGAGTAAGGAGGTAATGGGAGTGAGGACAATCCTATCTTAGCCGTCTTATTGGCTTAAATGCTTTATGTGCACCAGCATTCCTCAAGATTTGGAAAATCGTGGAGGTGACATTATCAATGTTCCTGCCCCTTACGGGATTAGCAAGCTATCTCGTGTTGTTATCGTTTATGTTTGAATGTGTAATTTGAAAACAAGGAGTAAAAAATATCTTTTATTTTTTTATTTTTTGTTAACTTGGAATTCCAATTAATAATTTATGCCTTCTCTTCAAATTAGGAAGGTAAATTAGACAAATTAAATGAAAATTTCAGCCTATTCACCTAATACCATATATATACAATTAGAAAATTATTAATTAATAATATATAAGGCAAACCATGGTCAAGTCAGAACCATAAAATAAAGGTAAAAGAATTAATAACCTTCCATCACTAAAACTAGGTTAATAATTATACCATGTTTGCGTTCATTTGGCCCTTCAAGAAGAGTCAATAAATAGAGACCATGAGCACCGTGAAATAGACACAGTAATAGGCAAATCAGCACTTCTCTTCAGTCCTTGGCCGACGATTCTCATCTCAAAAGATAGACGCCCAAAAATGGTGAGCAAGCATCACTCCCTAAATTTTTTTTAGGTGGTGTTACCATAGTTAATACTAGTCGCATCGATCGATTTTCTTCTATTTACGACACTATATTGCTACTAGTCGAATATGTAAATTACTTTTTTTTTTTTTTGCAGGATCTCAGGATTAATTTTCTCTTGGTGGGAGCTGTGTTTGCAGCTTTGTTTAGTGTAATGAGCTGCAGTGAGCTAAGCCTACCCACAGACCAAACTGGTGATGGAATCAAACTCTTCAATGTCATGGCTTTTGGTGCCACGGGAACTGGAACCACAGATGACTCTAACGTAGAACATCATTTCCTCAATTTCTCTGTCATGTTTTCGGTTGGTCACAAAAAAAAAACATATGAAATTTACAACAGATTTCTTTGGTTGCTTGATGAAAAAATTCCAGGCATTTATAAATACATGGAAAGCGGCTTGTGGAGCAGTGAGCAGTAGTCCTGTTATCCTTATTCCTCAAGGAAAGACATTCTTGTTGAAACCAATATGGTTCCAAGGTCCTTGCAAATCGCCTATCCAAGTTCAGGTCATTTCTCAAATCACCGTTCAATCCAAAATCAATCCGACTACGATGCTCGCAATCCTTTTGTGTCTGTATCATATGTCCGACATAAAAGTCTTTTATGGTTGTAGGTGAAGGGAATATTATTGGCACTTCCCAACCTAGGAAGTTGGAAAGGGCTGGATATCCACGAGTGGCTAGCATTTTCACAAGTACAAGGATTGATTATAGATGGACAGGGCCAGGGCCAAATCGACGGCCAAGGATATAATTGGTGGAAGGCTTGCTCTAATGTAACGCCACCAATATATATCTATGCACTTATCTTATCGTATTAGTTCTGTTAATCATGTTGATAAATCACTAATTACCATTTAATTTTTTTTATTTTCTTGTTTTGTAGTCCAATGATTGCACCAGGCCAACTGTAAGTAATTAATATGCCCCTTTGAAAATTTATTAGGAGTAAACATTTAGCCTTTTATGAAAATAATATGATTGGAAAATTGATAATTATGTTCTTATCCTTATTTCATTTTATTCTGAATGTAATAGGCACTTAGAATTTCGAACTGTGTTAATGTTCGATTAAGTGGGCTGAAGCACTTCAACAGTCAAAGAAATCACATATCGATCGACGGATGTAACGATGTGATTGTTTCCGGGCTCCATATTTTCGCTCCTGAACAAAGTCCCAACACGGACGGTATTGACATAGCAGGCTCGACGAATATTCAAGTTATGAACAGCGTCATTCAAACTGGTAAGGACAATGAAAACCAAATGTTTGCGCGGCTTGGTATTTGTTTTGGATTATTGTTATGAAATAGAGTTAGGTGGTCTAATTATTTTTAACTTTCTATTGTGCTTATGTATTACTACGAGTTCTATGTTGGATTGCCAATATATCTTTTCGATTATTGTTATGAAATGGAGTTAGGTGGTCTAATTATTTTTAACTTTCTATTGTGCTTATGTATTACTACGAGTTCTATGTTGGATTGCCAATATATCTTTTCTTTCTCGAATTTAAACTAAAGTTTGGTTGTGTAATTTATTAATTGTTATGCATGTAGGTGATGATTGTATTGCAATCAACACACTATGCTCCAATGTTAATATTACTGGAGTGACTTGTGGACCTGGTCATGGCATAAGGTTTGACATACGTACCAAATTGTTCAAAAAAAAAAAAGTTCCATACATACAAATAATTTTTAAGATGTCCTTATACCGTTGGATTGCTCGGCGTGTGATCCACAACCATTGGATTAACACAATTTTTTTTCCATTGTAATTAGTGTTGGAAGCTTGGGGATGAATGGAGAAGTCGCTAAAGTGGAGGGAATCTATGTGCAAAATTGTACCTTTACTGGATCAACAAATGGAGCTCGTATTAAGACTTGGCAGGTACTGGGTAATTTAAAAAAAACATCTAATTACCATTTTAAACAATAGTAATGAAATAATTAAGCATGCATAGGACCATTAACTTGTGCTAATGTTTTTTTTTTTGTTCTTTGTACTTAATTAGGGAGGAGCTGGATATGCAAGACACATAATTTTCGACGACATCACATTGATCAACACGGATAACCCTATCATTATTGACCAATATTATTGTCCTAACTGTGTAAACCAGGCAAGCAATAACTTGAACTTTGCAGAGTCATTTCGATACACTCTTTTAGCTCCACCATTTATTAATTAACTTCCATTTTAAATCCCAGACATCAGCAGTACAGATATCAGATGTTTCATATTCGAGGATACGTGGCACATCAGCTACTCCTACTGCTATAAGTTTGATGTGCTCTCAAACACAGGGTTGTACTGATATCAGATTAATGCACATCAAGATAACATCGGCTCATTCATCGGAACCGACATCCTCAAAATGTATCAATGCTCATGGAAAGTACACAGACTCCATACCTAAAGTGGACTGCTTGTTGCCCTAGTCAAGAAGATTTGAAGATGGGAAGAATATGTGAAGGAAGCCAAAATCTGTTGGCACCTCTTTTCCCCCCTTCTTTTAGTTTCTTTGTCAAGGAATAATTTGCAGTCTCTGAATTGAACTCGAGACGTTGTGGTAATAAATATATCTAAAACAACATACTTGTGTATGAAATAAAAGAAAACGAATTGATAAATCATTCATGACTTACTGTTTGATTACTAATCTGAAGATGTTGGCATGGTAGAAATGTGGAAATCAATAACATCTACTTATAATTTAGGGGATTCATCTAAATATCATTCAAAAAGATTTTTCAATTATCAAATTTGTTACGGGAAATATTAAAGAGAAGATAAAAATAAAGTCTCTTAAAAATTCAAATATATGCTTAGAGGGTTTGAGATTTTGACTTTTACCAAAAAGTCTCGTAAGAATTATTATGTGCAAAAATTACTTTTTCAGCAAATGAAAAATACAAACACAGGGTTAATAGCATTTTATAATACCCTTCTAGTATTACAAATTAACCAATATACTCGTTTACTATTCTTTTACAAAAAGTATCCATTTTTCATTAAAATGTAACAAACGCATTCTTCTATCCTACATTCTAACGGTTAAAAGGGACGAAGAATTACCGAAGTGCCAATCACGTATTCAATAATTACTTTTTATTTTTTTCAGCAGAAATAAGAAAACAGAAAAAATAAATAAAAGGCCAGGACCTTTTTAAAATTAAGTACAAAGAATCTAAATTAATTATAGTGTCTTGATTCTAAAATGAAGAAAGAAATTTATGTAATATGTGAATGGAATTTTGATCATCTCCAGTTTACTTCAATGGTCAACTAACTTGATTTTGAACGAAAGAATACATTTGCTAAGTTTTCAATAGCATATGGGATACATTTGTACAATAATACAATATATAGTAAAGGAGTTATGTTTTGTCCGTCTTGCTCCATTTCTCCATTATTAGCAAGCTGAACGTCAATGGTTCGATACTTCGATTATACTCGTGGTGGGTTTCTTCATTTGTTGTTTTTCTGAGAACGAAAAGGTGAAGGCCGACTCATGAACTTGAAGTTTGCACAAACCCACAATATCATATGCTTAAAGACAACGATTAATACTAAGAATCGTGAGGACTTAAACACATGACCTCATGGACAAATCAGCTCTATATTAATACCATATCATAAACGAACTGATCCCAATAACTCGAACTGTTAAAAAAGACTGATAAATTGTTAGAAAAAACTTATGTATAATACTTAACCACTTCCTTACAAACCATATATATTTCAAACTAGTTGGCCAATAGTGATTCCCTCGCATGAGATAGACATCCCTCCCACGATAAAAAGCTGTAAAAATCACACAAGATACAAGGTGTTCTTGTTTCTCACCCAACCCGCCTAAATCTAATTAATAACTGAGCTCAAGAATCAAAATTTAGTCTTCTCCAGAGAACTATTCATCGGTGGTAGCCAGCCGGCACCTTACTTCCACGAAGTAGTAGAAAGCCCTAGCGATTCGAGGGGAAAACTTAGTTTAAAGAACTGTCAAGCAACCGCGGCCTAAACATCAAGAGATAAGAAATACGATAATAATGAGATTAAGGACAGAGATAAGCACCTTAGTCCTCCTCCATAGGAACTTCTGGTATATCAAACCTGTCTTCCTCGATTGTCTTGTTGATTACAGAAACAGATGGTAATGTTAAGTCAAGGAATTCACAGAATGAAATAAGACTTTACACGCCAGAGAGGTCAGCAGTTAACAAGTAGCGAAACTTTCAAACTAGTTCACAGTCAAAGGATATTTATTGCCATAAGATCATCCTCCTTTTCACCACGATTCCTGCTGTTGTCTAGTTCTCTAACAATTTCAGGAGTCACCTGAACACCAAGATTGTAAACTCGAGAATCAGAAGAAAGCAATCCAATCATATTCCCACATGGTTTGCAGGTCAGGGGAAAACCGAAGGAATTTTTTTAATGAGGTAGGCTAGGATGACATTACCAGATAGTGCCTTTGTCTTCCGACTAAGGTTCTAAGGTTCACTTTATCTTCCTTTTGGAGTTCATTCTTGTACCTGCCACAGGTATCCAATAGAATTTAGTAGGGAAAACAACTACAAACGTTTCTCCTTCTTTCTTAATTGAAAATCTATGAGCATGTCCTACAGCATGGCAAAAGAAGGAAATTCTCCATACCTTTGAACAAATGCCAGTAGTGATTGGTGCCAAATTACAGGCATGATCCTTGAATCCTCCATAAATCTCATGTAATGAGCAACAAGTGCATCAATAACACGATACGGCAGCGCGTATTTCTTTTCCAAAAGAAGCTTGATGAAATAACTGCGAAAGTGTTGTCATACCCAAAATTGTACCTTGAGCTTCTAAAGGAGAAAGTTGTGCCAGAGTAGTAACCATCAAAGCACATATAAAGAGTATACATTCCATCGAACTTCTAACAGATGCATGTGCATTGTCCATGGATATGAAATGCTAAATAGATTGACCTTCAAAATCACTAGTCATTTCCCACTTAAACCCTTTCAACTAAAGGCATAATATTTGACGCCCTCAAATACCTTGTTGTGCCGCAGTACTCCATTTCTGCAAGCTTCAGCAAGGCAACACTGCAATTCAATTTCCGTAAAACCCATAAGACATTTGTTTCTCATTCATTGTAAGCTCACCAGCAATAAGGGAATAAAGTTGTCATCTAGAGGAACAGGGATTCAACCAAGCTGGCAAATGCAATAATCTCAAATAGTCGAGCAAACAATACTAAAATGTTCTTTATTTCTAGTTTGTTAGTAAGGGATTTAATACTAATGAGAACAAACAATTGAAGTAATATAGCAAAAATAACAGATTATTTTAAAAATATATTTGGCTATATAACAGAGGATATCGGTAAGATATCCAAAAGGGATTAAAAAAAATTATTCATGCCTTAGTGACAGATGAAATTATCTGCAAGGGAAAATGGACCGCATACCTGGAATGAAGCATAGGAATGGTGACCTTTTGAATAACACTTCCAACAATGACTGCTTCTCTAAGATTGCATGTTCCTGACTGCAAACACAATGCAAAGGAAGGGAACAAATATCAGCCCCGAAAGCATCTCGGTACTATCAGGAGACACTCAGATTCCTTGCAAATAAATGCATATACAAACCACTAAACTAATCCAATAGGAATAGATCATTTCAACTTTTGTATTGACATATAGACATAGCAATCAACATGACATACATCAAACATATTTCACAAGAAAATGAAAGAATTTGAAAGGACTTATGGGAAACCTTACAGTAACAAGGCACACGAGAAATTCCTGATGAGTGAGATTAAAAAACATGATTTGCCTCTCAATCTCCAGTAAGATATAAGAAAACCACAGGTTTCTCAGGTTGGCTAGAGGTTCTAATTCCTAATCAATCACAGGCTTTGCTCTGTTATGTTGCTTGTGAGTTATCTGGTTACAGTGGCCACAATTTATTTTACCCTCCAAGCACAACAGGAGACATTATAGAAACTGAATGAAGATCCAAAACAGAACTGCTAACCTTAAATTCGTAAAAGGCTATCAAGTCACTAAAAGATTTCCATTTCAAGTAGTTTAGATAAAAATTGAAACACGCTATTATAACAACTGATAATTAAACTATAGAAGACCAGTTTCTAAATTTGGTTAACTAAAGGAAAGGACAGCATGATAACCAGTTACGAGCCACACAGTTATCAAAGAGAACAATACGAGGCCACTAAAAGTACATACTTCAACCTAGGTAATACTTGAGAAGGTCACCATAGATTAAACCCAGATCAGATGACTGTCCTTGGAAGTAAGTTTCAGGAATGGTCACCACATGCTATCAGCCCAGAAACTAAAACAGTCAGACTTTCCTTAAGAAATTCATGCTTCAGAAGAAGCAGAAAGCATAGTTTTCATATATTTTTCGGACATCAAATTCACTCAACTAATGCTCTTTCTGTTCTACAAAAAACAGCTCCCTCTGAATTGGGAGTAGTCACAGTAGTAATGGAACTAGATAAAAGAGCAGCAACAAATTTGTAGACATACAATGATACAAATAAAGAACCACAAGAATCTCTGAATAAGAATGCATACCTTGCACAATGGAAACAATATTCCCTTGTTAAATGCCGCAGGTTTGAAAATAGCCTTTTTCAACGCCTGATAAAGAGCAAAATGCAATCTCTTATTCTTCTTAATGTCATCCCTAACTCGAGGAAGCAAAACTAGTCTATAAAACCGCTCAGCCTTCTTCGAACCCAAGTTCGACGCCAAGATCCTTGTAGCTTGATACATCCCATTTGGGGACCATTTCTCAGGTTCAGTAAGGTACAAGACATCTTCCCAGTGTTGCATTGCAGTGATCTTTCTGAATGCTTTAGGAACTTTGCCAGCTGTGTATTTACTCATGAACTCACCAACCCTGAACGTTAACAATCAAACAGACTATTGTAACTCAAAATGCTTAAACCTTCGCCACATTCCATCGTCGCTGAAATCATTCAGCGTAAGGGGGAAAATCATTACCCTTTGTACAAATCTATCACCGAGCTGTCCATTTTGGGTAAAGGCCGCGATTCTGCAATCAAACATCTGTGTCAACGAAATAAACTTCTGGAAAGAATCCATAGCAACAAAATTTAACAAACAGCAATGAACCTGAAGAAACTTGTGCATCGTTCTCCTTGATCTTCTTAACAATGATATCTGTAAGTGTAGGCTCCTTACTAGGACCCTTTGATAAGAAAGCCTCCAATATTCTCTCATCTTCCTCATCAATCTCCCCCTGCCAAAAAGAACATTAAACAACTCAAACAACATCAATATGGCTGCTGTAAGAGAGGTCAGATGACAGTTTGTCGTGCAGAAGTAAATTTACCTCAAAATCATCATAGCGACTTTGAGTCTCAGAAAACCCCGCGAAATCATCAATATCGCCATCTTCGTCTTCCACTTCTCCTCCGCCGTGCTTGGCTATGTCAGCAAACGCCTCTCTGGTAGGATTTCTTTCCTGAGCTTCCTCTTCAATCTCCCTCTGCTGAATCAGAGCCTCTTTGAGAATCTTCGAGCTTATCCCGGAAGCTATCGTCTTCTCTTGTTGCTGGTGGCTCCTGGGAGCTTTGGAACGCTTCTTCGAGGAAGCGACGGAGGCATTCTCCTCCGGGTGGAATGGTTCGGGATTCTGCAGCCTGCTTCTCTTCTTCGCCATTGATGCCGACAGGGACAGAGAGGGGCCGCGAGCTGTGTGAGGATACGGAGACCTCGGCGGGCTGGAGAGGTCCTTGGTTGGCGGTGGTGCAGTCGGGGGTTTGCGGCGCAGTCGGGGAAGGAAGGGTTTTATTAATTTCGTTTTCTGCAGCAACAGCACTGTCCGCAGGGCTTCTCCCACCTCTTTCTTCCTCCTCCCTTTCACTTCCCACGGGTACGGCCAGCGCTTTCAACCGGGCCTCTTTCCTTTAATTCTTATTGCCCAGGTGCGGCCCACCACTCTTCTTCCTTCTTACTCTTATAAGCCGGCCCAGAAGCAAAAATGATTCGTTGAAAGAAGGCCTGAAATGATTTTTGCTGCGACTTGCGTCTTGCGAGTAGTAGAGGTGTTCAAACGGATTGGTTACCGTGGTAATCATATTAACCGGTAGCATTCGATTAAATTGATTTGGTTAATTTGGATAATTGGTTTGGTTTAGTTAAACAATTTAGCTTATTTGGTTTAGGTGGTTTGGTTTGGTTTCAGCACTGCTAACCAATGAAACCAATTAACCAAATAATGATACACGTAATATACAAAATTATTTATACTTCGATGCAACCAACCAAACCAAACTTTTGCGATTCCCTATTTTATTTCCATGTGCACAACAAACCAAAGCATTATGGGTCAAAAATTAAATGGGCCTGCTTATTTACTAAACCAAAATATTTTGGACAGTTACTAGATTTTAGGATTACATACAGTACCATGACAACCACCTCAAACTATGTATAGTTTAAGTGTTTTGTTGAAGAGCTTTAACTTCCTAATGAGTGGTATTGGTATGTATTTAATATTTATGTTAAGGGGTTGTTGTAAGCTAACTATATTAGGTGCAGAAATGATGAATGATGTATTAATTCAAATGATGATGATAATCATAGATGGTTAGTCTTATTATTATTGCTTATATATAATGATAGTTTATGATAGTAATAACATATGGTTATGTTTTATTCATTAACAGGATAATTGTTTTATATAATGTTATGCTATTTGGTTTATCCGATTATCCGATTAACCAAACCAATTAAATTTTGGTTTAGTTAATTTGGTTTTCGTGTTAATTTTGACGGTTTGGTTAAGACATTTTACTCCATGGTAATGAAATTTAAGTTTAATTGGTTTGGTTATTACCACGGTAACCATTTGAACACCCCTAGCGAGTAGGGGTGTGCAACGGCTCGGTTCGGTCTGGAGCGGATCAAACTCATGAGAATCGTGATCCATTAGTGAAAAACATCTTAGAATCAAGGATCAGACCATCATTGTGTTTGGTCCGGTCCAAATATTAGTTCGGTCTATCATATCTTCAGTAATTGTAAAATTCATGTGCACCAAGAATCGAACCACATTATACTCGGTCCGATGCTGTTCGGTCCAAACTTCGGTTTGATCTGGTGCGGTCCCGGACCAATGCACACCCCTACTTGCGAGAATGGATGGCCATGTAATTTACAACTCAATTACCATCTGATAGGGTACATTAGTAATCCCCAAGGCAAAAGCCTAATTATTGACATAATGAAGAAAAGAAGACAAAGGGAAAAAGACAAGGCCAAGAGACAAGGAGACAAGTCCAGGCACCTTACATCAGCAAGGACTAGGGGCAGGGGGACACCCCCTGCCAAAAGTACAATGTACAGTGTTAGAGAGTCTGAGGCGCCCGACCACAGCATTTATGGCTTGGCAGGCGCCCAGACCATCACCTAACCCCCAAATGTGTATAAAGAGGAGTTCTCTCCTCATAAATGGCAATCTATCTACTCTTACTCTAACTTCTCTCTACTTTCTCTCTCTATATACTTCTTCTCTTCTTCTACTTCGGACGAGGCGGGGCACCTAACCCCTCAAGGTCATGGCTGACGCCCCAAACCGCTTGGACCCGAGTGCCGCTCAGTCACTCGGGCTCAAACAATTGGCACCCACCGTGGGGCCAAGCATGACTTTGAAAGATGCTTCCAACTCAAAGAAGGGAGAATAAAGGAGTCCGGCACCAACGAAGACCCCTCTCAAGCAAGTTGTTGGTCGTGAGGCTATCAACTCTCAACCACTCACCATCCAAGGTTTGGAAGCATCCGACGACGACGATCCATCGGGAGACGGAGAAGGCACGGAGTGCCTGGAGGGCCAGCTAGCGAAGCTTCGGAAAAAGCAAACACTTCAAATGGCGAGCATGCAAGGCCAACTAGACCAAGTCATGACCGCGTTGACGGCACTCACCAAGGCCAACGATCAGGCGCCTCCCAATTCACAAGAAGCCACGGAAGAGAGGAGGCGCCTCCGAGGAAAGATGCAGGAAGGTGAGGTACTACCCATGAACTCCCCACGGGAGGGTGTGGGCGCCTCGCTAAATGAAGACGCAATTGAAGCTGACGACGATATCTACCTGGAGAAGTACGCCCGACTCAACTATGGTGCCTTGGAAGAAAGGAGTGCCCAAATCATTAGACAGCCGTTGTCAAAGGGAGTGCTCGAAACACCAATCCCACCAAATTTCGCAAGCATCGATTTACCATCGTATGAAGGAAAATCCGATCCAGAAGATCACTTGAGTGCGTTCTGCCGAAAAATGCAACTTCTCAATGCGTCTGACGCTGCCTTGTGCAAGCCATTCCCCTCAACCTTAACCGGAGGATGCAGTAGTTGGTACTCCTCGCTTCCAGAGGGCATCATTCAAAGCTTCGCTCAATTCGCGTTGTTATTCACAACAAAGTACGCAAGCCAGAAGAGGCAAACACTGATGGTTCGGGCACTTGTCAATCTTAAGCAAAGAAAGGGAGAGAGCCTCAGGCACTTCATGGGGCGATGGTGGGAGGTTGCATCCGATGTCAAAGACCTAACCCCTCCACTTATGCGCACCAACCTAATGGATGCAAGCACTAACGAAGAGCTAAGGCGCTCTCTAGCCAAAAGAGAGATACGGTAGGTGGCTGAGCTGGAAGAAAAGATTCAGAAGGCAATTCTCATGGAGGAGGCGCTAGGGGCAAAGGAAGAGGAGTCCAGATCGACGAGATGATGCCCGACGTCCCAATGTCTGGGTAAGGAGAGACGTTCTTACAAATTCACAAGAGCCTCGCCGCGACCGCACCAACCGCGAGAACGCGAACCAATCTCGTGGGCAGGCAAACATGTACTGCGAGTACCACAACTCGCGCACCCACAACACCGTTGACTGCCACTACTTCAAAAAGGCACTCAAGATAATCTCTGATCGAGGAGGAGTAAGGGAAATGATCCAGAAAGCAGATCAGGGAAACCAATCCCCGCGGGAACGCAGTCGCTCCCCAGCCGCAAGGCCACCGGTACAGGAGCGCCTGGGCCCTAACCCAAACTTCAAGGAAATAAGAACCATCGTGGGAGGGGAGCCCAGCCGAAAGAAGAAGCGCAAGGGACAAGCAAGTGACACGTGGTGTATGAAGATCGCAAAACAAGAAGGTCCCGACTTGTCATTTACATCGCAAGACTATCCGCCGGAGGGCCCATCTGAAAGTCCTCTTGTCATCAACATACAAGTAGAAGGGTGCAAGGTGTTCAGGGTGCTGGTAGATAGTGACATAATTCCTGTTGGCGCCAAATGCAGACACCTCTTGAGGTTATGCAAGCCTCAGAGGCCCAACTTGTCGGCTTTTCCGGAGCGAAAGTGAAGGTGCTGGGAACTGCACGCTTAAAGGTCAAGGTAGGAGACGAGGAGCCAAGTGTCACACACCCGGTGGACTTCCACATTGCCGATTGCCCGTCCGCATACAATGCCATTCTAGGAAGGCCCTTCCTAGCTCGGTTCGGAGCTGTAGCCTCAACCTGTCATCAAGCAATGAAGTTCCAAACACCTCAGGGAATGGGGATAGCCAGGGGGGATGTGAAGGAAGCAAAGGCGTGCTATGCGGCGACCATTCACAAGCCAAATATACACACGATTGATGCCAGACCAACAGAGGTGCCGCGCCCAGGAGCAGTTGATTCAGAGATAGAGCTACCATTAGACCCAGACGACCCAAGCCGAGTCGTCCGACTCTCTGCCCATCTACCAGAACACATGCGTCTCCCGATGATCAACCTGCTAAGGGAGTACTCAGATTTATTTGCTTGGAGTCCCGAAGACATGCCAGGCGTCTCTAGGGAGCTTATGTCTCCGTAAAACCAGAAAGCGTGCCAGTACAGCAAAAAAGGAGAGGAGCATCGTTGGCAAGAAGGGTGGCCATGATGGAAGAAGTACAGAAGCTACTTAAGGCAGGATTCATTCGAGAGGTGCAATACCCGAACTGGTTGGCAAACACAGTGTTAGTCAAGAAACACAGCGGGACATGGAGAATGTGTATTGACTTCACCTCACTAAACAAAGCATGTCCGAAGGACCCATACCCACTACCAAGGATTGACCAGCTGGTCGATGCCACCTCCAATCACGAGATGTTAAGCTTTCTCGACATGTTTTCAGGGTACCATCAAATCCCTCTCAGCGAAGAGGATCAGGAGAAAACGGCTTTCATGACCCCGTACGGAAACTATTGCTATGTGGTAATGCCATTCGGTTTGAAAAACGCAGGCGCCACCTATCAGAGGATGGTGGACAAAGTCTTTGGAGGGCAGATAGGACGAAATGTGGAGGCGTACGTAGACGATGTGTTAATCAACAGTAAGAAAGAGGATGACCACCTGAGCGACCTAAGGGAGACGTTTGAGAACCTGAGACGTCACAATCTGAAGCTTAACCCCCTCAAGTGTGTATTCGGGGCAGGTGCAGGTCAATTCTTAGGCTTCATGATCACTCGTCGTGGTATTGAGGCTAATCCGAAACAGATAAAGGCAATTGCCGAACTCAAGTTGCCAAGAACAGTAAAGGAAGTCCAGGCATTGGCAGGTAAACTCGCCGCGCTCAACAGATTCATTCCCAGGTCAGCGGATAGATGCACCCCACTCTTCAATTCTCTAAAGAAGAAATCCAGGTTCAAGTGGACGGAAGAATGTGAGAAAGCGTTCGAAGAAATGAAGACTCTGCTGGTGAATCCCCTTTACATAGCCATATCGGACGTGGCTATCAGTGCGGTGCTCGTTAGGCGTCACCTTGAAAATCTTGCAGATCAGCCGGTGTACTACATCAGTAAGACGCTTCTCCCAACCGAAAGGAGGTACCCATCCATCGAGAAGGCAGCCCTAGC